ATACTTACATATCAAGCATACAAAAAGGCATGGTATATTCTCTTATTTGTATCATATCTACAGATTGGAATTAGTGTAGGCATAATTATATCTTGATACTGCAATACATTAGTATACCTTTAGCTGGAATTCGACGGAGGAGTGCGTTCCATGCACTTGTCGCTGTTCATGGATTATTTGGTATAAATTAGTTACTGAAATTTGTGTCTGTCCACAGAACAACTCTTCAAGTAAAACTGCATAGATAAACCTGTATTGCTCCTATTAATATGTTGGTTTAAGAGAGACATTTAGTCATAACGAACTGATAATAATCGAATTTTTAGTCAATTGGAAATAATGATAACAATTGTACTATATAACAAAAGGCATAATGTATTTATTGTTTACATCGTGCACATGTCGTTTCAAATATGAAATATTCTTCTACTTTTTAAAACAATAAATATATTGCCTAATAATAATAATTTAAAAAAATAACAAGTGGTAATTGTTTAGTAAGTTTGGTAGACAGTAATTTGAGCAAGGTATGATGCATTAATAAAACCAATTCTCCGATAAAACTAATATATAATAAATATTTATGAAATGCTTTCTTGCTCTTACAGTACTATTATGCTGATAATGAATGACTTTCTTAATGCAATGGGAGAGAAACTACATAATGAAAGTAGCTCCATGAGTAATTTTATGATTCTTTGATGACTATACAGGGGCGGATCCAGAGATGTCCAAAAGGGGGAGCCGAAACGGGGGCCAACATTTGGGCCGATCGCGACAACAACGTTCTAGGGGGTCCGGGGGCATGCCCCCGCGAAATTGTTGTGTTCTAGACGCCCGAAAATAACATTTGAGGTGTTGTAGGCAATCATTTTTTTCTTTTTCTTTCTTTTTTTTTCTTTCTTTTTTCTTTTTGTTTACCTCCTAAAGTTGGGGGGGGGGACATTTAATGACGTATAAAGAATGATCTCTTTCGAGATCGGGTTTTTTAATATAAGTGAGGGCCATATAACAGTCATTTTCACATAGTAGCTAGATTTTAAACCATGACCATTTAAAATAAAAAGTCAATATTTGTAACATGTTAGGAAATTAAAAATCAGAGCCCTGCAGGCGTTAACGTTCCTATGCATCATTATACATGACTTTATCAGAAAATATATGAGGTTGGGTCAATTTTGTGTGGTGGCTTAACTTGAACAATTCAGGGAGAGTGGCTTTTAATAGTCCAGAATAGTGATTTTAGACCACATTAGCTATGTTATTTGATAGGCAAATTACAGTTGGTAGAATCATCAAACAAAAAAATAATACTTTTGTAGGCATAGGTATAAAGTATTTCCATTTTGCAGTAGTTTGGAATGATATCAGAGGAGGGGCGAGCTGGCATGTCCTACTAAACAACAATATATTAAACCACTTTGCAGGCGTCAACGTTCCTATGCAGAATAATAGTGAAGTTATATGACTGAATTTATACACAAAATATTTCAATTTAAAAACATTTTATTTATTTTTTTATTTTTTTCATTCAAAACATCTTTACCCAGGATACATTTTTAGGAAGATGTTAATGCCTGTTTTTAACAATGGTCCTGCACAATAATTACAATGAAAAAATAGACAGTCTGCATAAACAAGATACAATTAAGGTAAGACAGAAAAAAAATCAATACATGAACTGTGATATTTTTATCACTATGGATTGTTTTTAACCTTCGCAGGGACGTATCCAGGGAGGAGCAGCTTCATCCTTCCCCATATATGATAAAATACAATAGCTTATTTTGTGAAATAGTATTCGTTAATGAAACCAAGACAAAGATGACAAAAATTTAATTACAGTAATATAACAATATTTGGTTATATATGAAAAAATATTTACTAAATGCAGTATCAATAAACACTATTTGCACTATTATCTTAATGACACATTGCTAATTTCAACAAGGGCAAAGGTAGGTCAGTCTGACAAGATTAAGTACAGTAGGAATTTTTGCATTACATGCATAGGAACTAAAAAAATGATATACAACCTCGGTCTGCACCATTTGGATGCGTTTCTCTCTCATGCTTCGCACAAAATTAAACACATCCACCTTCCCTTCTTGCTTTGACATGTCCAGCATTGAAGCGATTGCAATAATTGTACCAGTCCTACCAGCTCCAGCACTGCAACAAATAATGAGTTTTAAGTAATTATATCATCGTGTATAATCATCAAATAACCGACGATCCATTGGAAGGCTTATAAAAAAATCCATCTCCAAGTTTTAAGACAACATATGTCGTGAGCACGTTAAGAATGATTCAAACCTATTATTTATTATCATCACATTAATAAGTGAAACTATAAAAGAGCCTTAAATAATGAAAACCGGAAAAGCAAATTGTAAATGGAATTGAGAGGATTGGATGGTATGAGAGGAGCTGAGAGCTAGTGTTTGTGCGAATAATAATCATCATCATTTCAGCTGTTGTCGGCCCACTGCAGAGTGAAAACCTCTCCCCAAGTTGAACACATCCACGTCTGTCCTGCTGTGCAGTCCCCTCATCTAGGAAAGACGGGCAAATCCCACGATTTCATCCCTCCGTCGAATTTTAGGTCTTCCTTTTAGTGTCTATTCTGGGAGTCCATTCAGCTGTTAACTTCGTCCATCTGTTGTCATTTGTTCGCTTAAAATATTTTTTTTTGCACTTTTTAGGGTCGTTTATTCAAACTCGGAACTCATTCTAACGGGCACTTATGAAAACAAAGTGGAATTTGAGGGGCGCTTATGAGTGCAAATTGAGAGGGTGTTTCAAGCGCTTTTTTAAAGAAAGAAATAAAGATTATACAAGCACATATGAAAACCGAAGTTTTCTGGCGCAGACAAAATAATAACCGTTCAGTTAAAATTAACGGTGGTAGTGTTGGTAGTAGTGGTTGTGGTGATGGAGTTAATTTTTTAACTGATTGAGGTTAAGAGGATCATTGCAGAGCTTCTTCAGGATGAGAACGTGCTAAATGTGCAATTTGTAGGGGAAAAAGAGAAGCAGGACTAGTCATTGACTGCCGACTCATTGTCAAATGTAAGAAGAGACGAAATTTGAAAAGATATTGTCCAGCTTTCGTCTGTTTAGTTGAATTATTCTCATATTGAAATTGTCATTAGAAAAAAAAAGAATTCATTCCCCACCTGAAATCATGCCAACCAGAGTCACAAAAAAAATACATGCAGGAGTGTCGAGGTCTAATAACATTAGCTGTGCGTATTTGAATGATTTGTGATAGTCGTAGTAAATGGTTCTCTTCACAGCTCTTAGCGATACGAATATGAATAAATTGAATGTGATTATAATGAAGATTTTTTCGGGTTATTAGGTAGACTTAACCTCCTGGTATACATTTTTTTTTTTGATGGATTAAAATGTACTGTATTGTAAGTATTATAATGAATTATTTCAGCGTTGCATTATTCTTCATTTCTGAATCATTTTGTTATCTAATTACCATTTTCCTTTCTAGCACTTGGCTAGGACGGTCTAGGCTTAATTCGTGTTAACCAGCGCCGTAGAGCGATATTTGTTTAGGCAGTGTCGATTGATGGCGCTATAGAATTGTGCAATAAAGTCATGAATAGTCATGTGGTATTAGACCTCGGTGTAATAGTCATGTAGGTCTAATTTCTAGTTATTGCACTTTATATTTTGTAATTAGAAAATTTGGTTTAGTTCCATTTTATGCTCACTATTATTGTTTAAGTCTGCCATAAACCAGGTGTAGTTGACCATTTGGTTTAAGGCATGAGACTGTAATAACAAAATACTTACCTAAACTATGCAGACATACAAAAAACTGTCTCTATAAGAGACAGATATATATATATATATATATTAGAAATGATTAATGATTAGATAAGTATTGATGATAAGTATTTTTTGAAGGTTTGCATGGCGAAGTAATAACATATAATATGCCTATGTTTAAGCTAATAAGGATTAGGCTATGATTTTACACTACGATTACAAAAAAAGATTTTTAAGATCCACTCAGTCACGCCGAGTAGTTGTACGAAAATAAGTTTGTTTACTTGAAAATAAGTACAATATATAATATGTAATTCATGGAAAACGATGACAATAATTAAATAATGGTGACGATAGGCCTAATGATGATGTCTACGAATAAACAGGCCTATAATAAACATAGTTGATTTCTCGTAACCAGTGGGTCTTTTTTTCTATTATACTGGCATCACCCTATCTTAAAAAAAAAATACTGGAGCGATGGTGGAGTTGGATTCGTCGTGCGCGACGGTTTTGCGACCGTGGCATGGCCGGCGGAAGCGGCCCCCCTCCCAATTTTTTGCCAAAAATATATAATGTCTGGAGATTTTTGTATGATCGGAAATGCAAAAAAAAAAGAAGGAGGGAAGAAGGAGGAGAAGGATGGAAAAGAAGAATGTTTATCCAGTACCCGACCGAGTTACATTTTCTCGCAATTCATATTGGCGGATCTGGGGGAGGGAGGCATTGGTCCTGACCCCTCCCTTGGGCAACAAAAAGGGCAAAAAGAAAAGAATTCTAGATCTACCTTTTCTGGACCCGTTTTTTTTTTTTTTTTTTTTTTTTTTTTGGCTATTAGAAAATTCGAATTTTGAAGAATTTAAAATTCATTAAAACTAATTTTTTAATGTTAAAGCTTGTGCTTGCTCTCCTTTGACTTCTAAGGTATAACACATAGACCCAAACTCAAGAAAGAAAATTTAAGATAGAGCGTTTTACCTAAAAGAAGGGCCTCAATGTGTAATGATGCTGAAAGTATGTTTGTAATAAATAAAGCCATAAGGAAAATGCGTATATTCAGTTTAAAAAAAAACGAGTGTGGCCATATAGAACATAAGAGCATTTCTTGTTGAGGTAGGCCAATTTTCTCTAAAAATTGCACATTTTAGGGAGTTTTGATCAATTCCGACGCAATTAGAATTGAAAACACAATTTGTTTTCGGGTTGAAGCTTGTGCTTGCCCTCCTTTGCCTTCTAAGTTATTTAAAAAAATAATAGTACCAAACTTGCGTAACCACCGGGGGACAAGGAGAAAATATCCATCTGTGGAAAATCTTTCCCCATTGAATGCCCTTTTCACCCGGGAGAGTTCCTGAAAATCTCAAATTTTAAATCGCATCTTTTGTTGAGGTAGGCCAATTCCCTTTAAAAATTGCACATTTTAGGAGTTTTGATCAATTCCGACGAAATTAGAATTAAAAAAAAAAACAAAAACAAAAATTTTTCGAAGGGCCTCAATGTGTAATGATGTTGAAAGTATGTTTGTAATAAATAAAGCAATAAGGAAAATGCTTATATTCAGTTTAAAAAAAAAACGAGTGTGGCCATATATAACATAAGAGCATTTCTTGTTGAAGTAGGCCAATTTCATCTAAAAATTGCACATTTTAGGGAGTTTTGATTAATTCCGACGAAATTAGAATTAAAAACACAACAATTTTTCGCGCGCTTCGCGCGCATTTCTTAGGATTAAAGCTTGTGCTTGCCCTTCTTTGCCTTCTAAGTTATTTAAAAACATAATAGTACCAAACTTGAGAAAGAAAATTTAAGATAGATCGTTTTACCTAAAAGAATGGCCTCAATGTGTAACAATGGTGAAAGAATAAGCCTATGATTGTAATAAATAAAACCACGATGAAAATGCTTATATTTAGTTTCACACGTGTGTGGCCTATATTAATAATAAAATAAGCCCTATGTCGTATTGTTTTCTATATGGTGGGTGGGGGGGGGGTATCACCCAAAACCCCTGTTACACGCCTCCTTATAAGTGGGGCCCCCACTTTGAAAAACGTTCCGCCGGCCCTGCGTGGTATGCTGCACTGAGTGCCGACTTTAGATTCGCTGCTGTGTGCGTTCACAGCTTGGACTAGGAACGAAATACACTGTAAAATATAAATTATACTGTAGTAAAATCACCTCATCTTTCAGATTTTTTGCACACAAGATGGAGAAAATCGGCACTATATCAATATAGTGATCAGTCGGGAATTAGAAAATTCAGTGCTAATATAACTGATGACGTCACCACTGAATTATGATTCAAATTAGCGCTGTTGATTTAATGTAATAAGGATACGATGCTATAAGCATTCAACATTATTTACCTTGGCATGCAATAAACTCATGTGGTGTCGTATATCCCTGAAAAGAAGCAACTTACAATATTGTGAACTTTGCAAATATTATCCACATTATTATGTAATAAGAGTGTAAAGACAATAGACAAACTGTAATATTTTATAGTATTAAGCACATGTACTGAAAAATATTATTAAATTAAAAGTTTAATACAATAATTGCATATCTTGTCATATTGTGTCTATTTTCGAGAATGTAATATAATCAGTACTTACATCTATATACGAAGCATTTATATAGTCCGACTCAGGAATGTTTTTCCAGAGACCAAGCACTACACGAGAATTATCATCTGACAAAATAGAATTTGCCAATATATAATGTTTTGTGGTATCACTGCCATCAAGGTGAAAATTGTGTTGGCTCTCGATGACTGAGAGAGGAAATTGTAAGGTAGGGTGAGGTGGGGTTGGAGTTTTCTTGACAGTAAAGACATTAAATGGTGTCATATTTCCGAAAAGTATAAAACAGTATTTCTCTTGCAACTGTATATCTAATTTATAGAATTTTTTTTTGACCAAAATGCCCTTTATGTAAGGAGGAAAGAAGGAATTGCTCGGAAACAGAACCCTGTCAGCATGCTGCTGACTTGGTAAGAAACTGCTCAGAAACAGCCCAGTCAGCATGCTGCTGACTAGGTATCTAAACAAAAACAATGGCTTTTCAAGCTACTGCTGTGAAAAACCCAAAAAATAACAAAAACAAAAAGAAAACACATAGTTATCAACAAACGTAACATTTCTAAAATGGTGACACTGATGTCCTGATGGCGATGTTTATCGATATGCTTGAGTTTGTATTGATACTCACATGGAATAATATTTGCGTATCTGTTTTTCGTTCTATTCTTAGAGTTTTTCGCAGCAGTCCAAGGGAATAGTGGCTTATTGCCAAGGTCCTGTTAAGAAGAAAATTACCACGTAATATTTGCAGAAATATTAAGAAGATAATATTAAACAAAAATTAATGCATTTATTTGTGTTATATTTTACTTTTCGTGGACCAAGAAACGTTATTATTATCAGGTTGGATTAAGTGTATCAATGCATATACAACAATAAAACTATCCACTACATATATTAAAAATGACCGATAGAAGATGATGGTGCATCAATATATTATTTTAATTATATTTTTACAAATTTGTATGCACTTACTTTAAGTTTAAATCCTTAAAAAAAAAACGATACACATATCATTCACCTTTTATGAGGATTAGAGAGTGAATTTGCTTTTGTCTGTCAATTGACACTGAAACCATACCACCCAAAAATGAAGTAGATGTGGACTAGTAGGACATACCTCAAATTCTTTCGCAAATCCGTTTTCTAAGCTCTTGTTTCGATTCATGACGTAATCATGTAACTTTGCTAACTCGATCGGCTTGTATTCCTGATTTTCCAAGTTTGTGTTTCCATAAATAGGTTCAGCGTTTGCGTACAAATTTCTGACTGTAGGATCATTGTCATCATAATCATCTAAGTAGTTTACTTCAACTGAACTAGCATGACCCTCCACAGCAGCCAGCATTTCATTTTCTATTAGAAGCAAACAAAAAGGTTAAGTACTTGAAATGAATTAACTTGAATTTATAAAAACAGTAAGAATAACAGGCTACAGGAAGTTGTTACAGACTTAAATTGTTGGTTAGTCTTGTCTATTCTATCAGATGTTAATGTTTATAGACTCTCGTCTTTTAGGCTTAATTTTTCATGGTATTGCAAAGGCGTAGAAAGAAATAATTATTTTTTCGATTGATATTTGTAATGACGTGTGACTTTAGTAATGGTACTGCTAAGTAATAATAACGACAATGTTAATAATAAAGATAATAATAATGGTAAAGACAATTATAATAATGATGAAAATTATACTGACGATGATAAGCGATGTTTGTATTCAGTGATTGTGGTATGAGTGATGACCATTATATCAATAATAATGTTAGGTGATAATAGTTATGAGTGACTGATGGTTAATGATCATTAATATAATGATGATTATGATAATATTTATAATGATGAAAACTATGATTAGAGTGATGATAGATTACGACGATGATAGTAGTAATGAATTAATTATAGTCTATGTTAAATTATGAAGACAATGATGATAAATACTGTTTAAAATTACAGTAATTTAACTATCTCACCTATTCCATGTACTATCTCTTGTTGAATGACAGGAGTTCTAACAATATCTTTGTTCGAATTGCGGCGTCTACAAAAAAAAGGGAAAAAAATACATACGGTAAACAACTGATATTTATATACAGGTAAATAATAAATTAGATTGATGGAGTAAATAATTTTAACTGAATAATAATAATAATAATAATAATAATATTATCATTAATGATAATAATAATAATAATAATTAAAAAAAAATAATAATAATAATATTTATGATATCTGATATAGTATCTGTACACACAAATCACTCACGTTAATGTGTCCCCTGATACTATTTATGAATAATTCTTTAATATTGTATAATAATTTACTATTGTATTTAGGAATTGTTGAAATAATAATACTAAAAGGCCATTTAGAAGATAATATGATATAATTACCGTAAATCAATTAAACAATCTGATAAAAGTCATACAATTTTGTTGGTGAGATATACTTATACATAGATATAATGATGTACCAAAGGTAGTAAATACTTACCGTTTAACAAAAATAAACAGAACAATTGCAAAAATTGCTATAGCTACACCTCCCGTCAGACCACCTATAAAAGCACCTAAACAAAAATAAATAATAATAAAAAAAAACACAGAAATATAATTGATCTGAAAAATGGGTGTGTGCATAAAATATTATAAGATCAGGTATTTTGCATTTGATATAATAACCCGGTGTGATGCTACAATCTTGCATATTCGTAGTAAAGCATGCTTAATCTAGAAGGCTTTTATCTCGAAAATTATAATCAACAAAACTGCATCTCCGGAGAGAAACATTGCCACAAGTCAATTTAAGTTCATCTTTCTCTTGATTACTATAAAATTAAAAAAATATAATTATAATAGTAAGCATTATTAGGAGATCCCGTCCCGACGTATTTCATAGATATTCCCCGGCAAGGTCAATTGATTGATTTCCGGTGGAGAGTTTGGGCCGAATCCTCTGGAGGCATTCTGCATTTCAGAGGCCTTAATGAAATCCTGAAACGCATAATTCGTGTATAGGCACATTGTATTTAAATTTTCATTAATGTAGGTGTAGTCTGGGACCTGAAATAGTTACGCTTTATGTCCTTCACATATGTGTGCCTGCAGATAACATCGTTCATATGGATCAATCTGTAATCACTAGAGCTGATCAATTTCCAACTAATTTCGTACCACAGTTATTAAAAATCAACGATTTGAAGAGCTGGCAAATAAAATGCAAACAATAGCATTTCTCGATAATTAAGCACAGTTTTAGTGTACTTATAAGGTTTTTTTGGGGTCCAATATTGAGGAGTCATTGTGGGGCTTTAGGACCAGAAGCTCCGACAAATTGCATTTTGAGAACTGTTATTACAATGGATTTCTGAAACCCATGATTCGTCGTTTACAAATAAAATGCAATTTATTATTACATTTTTTTTCGATAATTAGAAACTATTTTAGTGAAGCAATTGGTTTTAAAAAGTGGACATTCAAAATGAATGTTGATGGGTGGGCGTTTGTACCCGTGCCATTTGCACCATCTGTCTACGGGCCTGCAACTGAAAGAGGGTCACGAATGATAAATAAGAAATAAAATTATATTATTAAAGAGGCATGTAGAAAGTAAAATGTGGACATATCACTTATTTTGTGAATTGTCCTGGTGAAGAGGATTTATTATATATTCATTGGACAAGGAGAAAAAATAACTAATAACTTTGCCTACTTTTATTCCATACTTTTATTATACATGTGATTTTAACCTAAAATCGTACCGATTCCTGTATTTTCTTTGTTTGTAGACATACTTTCAAAATCTGAGAAATTACCGTAGCCTTTGTGCGTCCTGGCTGCTACCTGAAATAATAAAAATACAATCATATTTCTACTCAACAAACAAAAATAATAATAATTATTGTAATAATTATAATAATAATGATGATGATAATAATAACAATAATAACAATAACAAGAAGAAGAAGAAGAAGGAGAAGGAGAAGAAGAAGGAGGAGGAGGAGAAGAAGACGGAGGAGGAGGAGGAGGAAGAGGAGGAGGAAGAGGAGGAGGAGGAGAAGAAGAAGAAGAAGAAGAAGAAGAAGGAGAAGAAGAAGAAGAAATAATTATTAATTATTATTATTATTATTATTATTATTATTATTAATTATTATTATTATTATTATTATTATTATTATTATTATTAATTATAATTATTTTGTTGCAATTTCAACTTTATTTCTCATTAAAGCAATGGCCCTATGTTTTGTTGTCGAAACAGCCATAGTAAGCTCACAGAGACCATGTTTTATGCACTATTTCTCCAAGACTCCAACCATTACCGTTACCAGTAAGTCTAGTTATTATTATTATTATTATTATTATTATTATTATTATTATTATTATTATTATTATTACTATTATTATTATTATTATTATTATTATTATTATTATTATTATTATTATTATTATTATTATTATTATTATTTGCACCTGGCTCTCATCTAACCGCCCTGCTTCAGATGTGGATGTTCATTCTCCACTACTGAAGCGTTCATTTGTGCTTAGACCTCATGCTCCATGGTATTTGTGCGACCACCATAAAATGAAGGTTGAACGCCGACGTTTAGAACGCAAGTGGTTGAGATCTGGTCTTTTGGTAGATAAACAACTGTATCGAGGCCAATGTACCAAATACAACGAACATCTTTGCAAAGCTAAAGCCCATTTCTACAAAAATAAAATTTTGGGGTGTTATCAACGCAAGCTATTTCGTGTTGTTGACCAATTAACATCAGTTAGCACTCTCTTCCTTCATATGATGATCCCAAAGTACTTGCTAACAGGTTTTCTGATTTTTTTCAAGTCAAAAATTGAAAAATATTGCAGCACACTGTTATCTGACTCTCCTCAAACTTTAACACCTGCGTTCGAGTCTTGCACAAGTGACTTTTCTCATTTTGTTGCTGTCTCTGAAGAGGAAGTTTTGGAGGTTATAATGTCATCTTCAATTACCTCATGTTCTCTTAACCCACTTCCATTGAAATTGTTCAAGGCTTGCTTCCTGCTCTCATACCAATTATAACTGAAGTTGTGAACACTTCCTTGAGCTCAGGTTTATTTCCATCTTCGCTTAAGCATGCCTGCATTACTCCCTTGTTGAAAAAGCCATCATTGAATGCTGAAGAACTTTCAAATTTTCGACCTATTTCCAATCTTCCATTCCTTGGGAAGGTCATCGAAAGGGTGGCATCCAATCAGCTGCAATCTCATCTTAGCAGCAATGGTTTATTCGCTTCTAGACAATCGGCCTATCGACCAAATCATAGTGTGGAATCTGCTCTTTTTTATGTCCAGAACGATATTCAGATTGCACTTGATAACCATAATGAGGTTTTAATGGTCCTTTTGGATTTTAGTGCTGCTTTCGATACCATCAATCATAAGCATTTACTAAACCGTCTATCCTCGCGCTATGGTATCTCTGGTATCGCCCACCAATGGTTTGCATCATATCTAGAGAATAGGTCTCAGTCTGTTGCTATCAAGGATGTTATGTCAAATCCCACTTTACTTACATTTGGTGTCCCTCAAGGCTCGGTTGTTGGGCCAATTTTATTTATTCTATTTACAGCTCCGCTGCTTGACATTATTGCTTCACATGATGTGAAGTATATCGCATATGCTGATGATACGCAGCTCTATGTTATTTTCCATCCAGATCAGCGCGATGCTGCTGTCAGTAGACTAGAATTGTGCATAGCCAAAGTTCGATCTTGGTGTCAGTCCAACAACCTTATAATGAATGATACAAAAACTGAACTCATTCATTTTTCATCATGTTTTAAGCCTGCTCGCTGGACTCCTTCTATCAAAATAGGGATGCATTCATTGAGCCTTCGCTGTCCTGTAGAAATCTTGGAGTTGTTATGGACTCTTCTCTTAGTATGTCTAATCAGGTACACAACATCTGTAAAGCCGGGCTTCAGTCAATTCGTAGAATTTGGAGTATCCGGAAGTACCTTTATCCTAGATCAACTGAGATTCTCGTTCATGCTTTTGTAACATCAAGGCTGGATTGTTGTAACTCATTGCTATATGGATTGCCAGCTAAGGATATTTCAAAACTTCAGCGAGTTCAGAATGCAGCTGCCCGTTTGGTCACTTTAAGCCCAATTAGGGATCATATCACTCCTGGCACCTTCATTGGCTTCCTGTAACACAGAGAATTACTTACAAGATTTTATTATTTGTTTTCAAAGCACTTCATAATTCCTCGCCAATGTTTATTTCACAACTCATTCATCCTTACATACCTAAGAGGTCTCTGAGATCTAGTTCAGAATCTCTACTTGCTCATTCCACTCGCCTGTCGACAAAGCATTATGGTAGTCGTTCTTTTTCTTGGGCATCTGTCTTTCTTTGGAATGCTCTGCCTATTACAATCCGACAGGCAACTTCCATTGATGATTTTAAGGCAGCTTTAAAAACTCACCTTTTTAGCTTGTATTTTTCTTAATTTTTTTT